GCTCAGGTGCTGAGGAAAGCGATTACATATATTCCTACTCCAACACTGTATAGGAAACTCTGAGCTCAGGTGCTGAGGAAAGCGATTACATATATTCCTACTCCAACACTGTATAGGAAACTCCTGAGCTCAGGTGCTGAGGAAAGCGATTACACATATTCCTACTCCAACACTGTATAGGAAACTCCTGAGCTCAGGTGCTGAGGAAAGCGATTACATATATTTCTACTCCAACACTGTATAGGAAACTCCTGAGCTCAGGTGGTGAGGAAAGCGATTACATATATTCCTACTCCAACACTGTATAGGAAACTCCTGAGCTCAGGTGAGGAAAGCGATTACATATATTCCTACTCCAACACTGTATAGGAAACTCCTGAGCTCAGGCGCTGAGGAAAGCGGTTACATATATTCCTACTCCAACACTGTATAGGAAACTCCTGAGCTCAGGTGCTGAGGAAAGCGATTACACATATTCCTACTCCAACACTTACAAGGGCAGCAACGCTGGGTATTCCGATATATTTTTCTTAGTCACCCGCGTGACCCCATCAGCCTCATCAGCATTCAGCCAAATAGCACATCGCAGCCCTCCCGGAGCCGTAGTAGTAAAATAGATAACCGGGCTTAATATTCCACTTGTCAATATCGACCCACATTTCACTGAGGAAATGCAAGATTTTGCAAGATTGCAAGATTCCCCCCCCTCACCAACTGTAACCTTATTCTCCTTCTCGTTGCTGTCCATGAGCAAACCAACATCACTCAAGTGCGACACGAGCCTATCCGCACACGCCATGAGCCCTTCCGAGGCGCGGTCTCCAGTACCACTAAAGTGAATGATAATAGTAAACCCGATAGGGTTTGATGAAAATGTTGCTAATGTGATTACATTGGAAACTGATTAAAGAATGTGTTCCTAGCCATACGTGGTCGAAATTTCAAAATGAGTTCTCCTCGGGAACATTATAGGCTCCCATGATGATTCCCCGAAGTTAATAAGCGATGACTGTATAAACCATGGAGCGCTCTAGAGCTAACAACAACATCGCTTTTACGACATTCACAAACACCATTTAAGGGTCTTCACTATACCCTCCCAGCGTGAACTCCCACACCCTATATAGCCAATTCTAGGAGCAGTGTAATACCGTTCCACCATGATATGAAGAACACTAATGAAAACCTATCACGCCGCTTCACTTCAAACAGATCGCGAAACTGTATGGAACATCGTCATTCGTTTTCCTCTTTATACAGTGAGCTCTTCCGTCACGAAATTAACTCGCCCCTCCTCAGTGTGGGAATGTATGTTTGTTTTCTTCAGCTGAGCTCGTAGGTTTCCTCACTATTTTATGAAAAATCACACGATTTTGGGTATAAGTATACAAAAATCAACGATAATTTCCTCAAAATTTCCTCAAAATTTCTTCAAAATTTTCTCAAAATTTCCATATCGCTAGCACCACATATACTTGACCACGTGCATATATCCCCCCGCTGCTACCCCGAAGTGGCTCCCTCTCCTCCTCCTCTAACAACAGCCTTGCCCCCTTTACTATAAAGCTTAGGTACATTATCAACATACAACTCTATGCAAAATCCATCATGCTCTTCTAGGTTCCCCACACCTAAAGATACCCAAAGATACGCCTCTTGCGCACAGCGAAGATTTCATCAACGAACTCACCCAAACTGTAAAGGCCACACGGCCGAACAGACGCCCATTTCTTCGAGGAGGTGGTAGACGGTTGGTCAGCTCTCAAACAAGCCTCTACCTAAAACGCCTCGAAAATTGCATAAAAATACCTGTGAAAATTCCAAGGAAATTTTCGAAAATTCTGATTTCCACCCGAATTCATGTATAAACTCCTATAATTAGCAAGGGAATTCCTGAGATCAGCTGAGGAAAACAAACAAATATTACTACTCCAACACCTACTATTCTAAAATTCATCGCATACAGTGTGAACCAAACCGTTATGTGAAGTAATATTTTCAACACCTTTTCAATTTCTTAGAGTAATATCAACATGATAACAATGTGAATCGATTGACACCAACGTTTTAGTCTATAGTCGTACTAGTTTCAAATTGAGGAAAGCCAGCTCGAAAATGGACATATGCATATCTGTTTGCTTTGCACTGTACCTCATCCGCGATGTTTTTCGCCATTTTTCCCGCCTCCATTCTGGTCCCCTTAGGTGTTAGCAAATAATGTTCAGCAAACGCCCATACCTCCTCATGCAATCTAACAAAAATTCAGAAAAAAATATTCGCCTCGAAAATTTCCAATTTCAGCAACACCACGAAGAGTAGAAAAAACGACAACTTCTATTGACCGTTTTAGTGATGGGGAAAAAATTCCCCAATTTTTTTTCAAAAAAATTCCACTTGAACCACTCCACGAGCAAATCCAATCTAGATAACCATAACACGCCGAATACCAATAATAAGTTGATTCCGATTCCATCACAAATCGTCGCGGGAAATTTCGTGAGATTTCTACCAGAGCGGGGTCCCATCATGCCCCTCACCGTAGAACAGGATTCCTATGTTGTTCCTTATCCATCAACGACCATGGTGACGGCATCTCGGACATCTTCCTCAACTCTTCCTCACGGATTTTAATCTCCTCAGGAGTCAATTTTCGTGTAGTAGTTGCAACACCTGATAATGATGAGAGATGCGATAATTTCATGGCGCGTGACGGAATGAACTTCCTTGAGCGTTGGAGTAGGAATATATGTTTGCTTCCCTCAGCTCAGGAGTTTTCTCACTAATTATAGAAGCTTATATACGCATTCGGGGTAACAAGTGCAGAAACCCACGAAAATTCCCCAAAATTTCCTCGACTGTCACCAACACATGTAGTTAGCCATGTGCATATTTTTCCAACACTGATCTGGCGTATCCAGAGGTTGCCCATAAAAGATTCAAAATAGGTCCAATTATTACCTCCCATCTTCTCCTCCACTCCGTCCTCTCCCACCGGCATGTAATTCAACAACGGCTGAGCCCGGCCGATACCACGCCTGACCGTCGACCCGAATTTCGTGGCTCGTGACGATTTTTCCCCTACCCTTCAGTGCGGTCTTGCGCCATCTTCCTTCCCTGCTTATTGAACGCCGACTGAACCCTCAACAAATCCGCTTCCTCGTAACTGCCCAAAAACTTTACAAAAACTTCTTCCACGAGGAAAATTTTCCAAAAATTTTTCCACGAGAAAGATTTTCCGGAAAAATTGTTCCAGGAGGAAAATTTTCCGAAAAATTAAAAAATCCCACGAAAGGTTAAATTATCCACTAACATGAATATTCTGGCGTCGAAAAGATTACGAAACTCACACGCTTACCGAGTTAGTGTAAACCAAACACTTATGCATATGTAGATTTTCGAGATGGCTTTCTTCAATGTTAGACTAGTACGACTATAGACTAAAACGTTGGTATCAATCGATTCACATTGTTATCATGTTGATATTACTCAAAGTTGACTTTCGAACTCTCAAAAATTGAAGGTGTTGAAAATATTACTTTACATAACGGTTTGGTTCACACTGTATATAACTACATAACGCCCCTGTGAAAAAAAACAAAGAAAATTCATAGAATTTTCTCCATCACGACAGCGGTTGAAATTTCCAATGAAAATTCCCCTCCCACTGGTCGGCAGTGTGGTAAAAGATATGGACATGGTCAACCACATGTGTTGGTGACAATATCAAGACTCTGAGGAAATTTTGGATAATTCTTGTTAGTTTCTGTACACCACTTGTATATTCTCCCAATACGTATATAAACTCCTATAATAAGTATTGTGCTCAGCTGAGGAAAAAGCAAACATTTTTTGCAGTGCTGCTCATCGCCCTACTACAAAGATTGATTTCTCACCGAGAAAATTATTTAATTTTTCCCCCCAAAAAACAACACCTCCAACTCTCATATTACAATAAGCATCGCCCAGCTCCCAGAGTAGCCGCATATCTCCTCTTTGGTCGAGTCGGGAGAGCTGCCATGACGAAAAAAGGGCGAACGAGATCTGCACAGGTTCGAACCCGTGGGAGAGTATATGTTTGGTTTCCTCAACTGAGCTCGTAAATTTTCTCACTATAGTATGAAACATTCACACGACTTTCGGTAAAAGTGTATAAAAAATCAACGATAATCTCTCAAAATTTCCATATTTCTAGCAACACATGTAGCTGACCATGCGCATATATTCCCACACAGGTTCGAACACTACACTTGGTAAAGTTATTAGGATTATAAAATTTATTATTCATATCCTTACGTTTTACATAGCCGTTTTTTATTATTGGAGTTTCACCCTAGTGAAAAATATATTTCGCGACTACTGCATATCACCGCGAATATCGCGTTTTTCACCAAGAGCTTTACGACGCCACTTCGCGTAAAACGGGTAGTCGTGAAATTCCAATAAAGACGAGCAATTAAATATAACACGGATGAGAATTCTACAATTCTCTTTAGAGCGTGGTCCACTTTATAACGGAGGAATATAATTGAAGCTGTGAAAGTTGCATAAAACTCAGTATAGGAAAATATGCAGATGGTCAACTACATGTGGAAGCGATTACATATATTCCTACTCCAACACTGTATAGGAAAC